ATGTATGTTTCTTGATGTCAGAGGATTGCTGTCAGTTGACAGCTGAGAAATTTATGAAATATGAACATGTTCATTATGATGTTGGACTATTATTTGTCAAATTTTATTAGTTAGGTTAGCTTTTGTTTGTGGCATGAGTTGAATTGTGGGTTTGGATACTAAACCTCGTGAATTTTTAACAAATTAACAAGGTTTACTAAGTGCTTGTGCGGGGGGGTTGTAACAGACTAGGCTGTTGTAAGAATTATCCAGAGTGGTTTATCGACAAAAGAGAATGGGAAGCTGAGCCGCATGGTGACCTGACCCCCAGGGGAATTCGCGGTGGAAATAACCGACGCTTTGTTCATAACTGTGTATAATGAATCATCCTATAGTATTCAGTAATTTAGAGAAAATTAGCCTTTATTCATTTTGCATTAAAATTGTATTGTATAATAGTACTGGATACAATATCAAGAGTATTCTAATTATTGAGTTTAAGTCACCATCAGTGACGTCACGAATCGGATCTAACTTTTAAAGCGGAGTGACCGGCGGTCATAGGTCAGCAGGGTTGACATGTCTAATATTTCTCAAAGTTTTAATAACCATTTTTGTGATCGGGAACAGCTTTGCCGTTAGATGTTTGTGTAATCTAATTAAAGTAAAATAATTCAACCAGTCTGGATCAATTAAGTACAACAGAGTTTAATTGTTATAACTTAACCTTGCTAAAGTAACTGGGTAAGCGATGCGGAAGGATACAATACTCTGTCTGGGGTAGTCCAGACAAGGAAAAAATCAGTGTGAATACGGGAGCAGCTGGGAGAGGTCAACCATCTTACCTCCCCCCAAGACCAGCACAACATCTAGCTGGTCGCCCAAGGTATAGTTGCTATGGTTATGTATAGAAATAGTCTTCTCATTTGCCATTCAGGTCAAGTAGGGAGTGTTAAAGTGATAGGGAGTGAACACATTTAGATTTTGTTTTAGTTTTCTTTTAATAAATTAAATTTGTTATTAATTTGCATTTTATTGTTTCCATTTGTTTGTGTATACTTGTCCTGGTCACGTGGTCCACACGAGGCAGAGTTGCATTGGGCGCCGATTCTAACATCGAATCGGAATTATCATTACCGTGTAATTTATTCCACACTCAAGGTCATCGTTTATAGTGGGGATCAAGCCCCTAGGTTGATTAATTAGCGTGATCGATCCAGACCTCGATCATTGCTCTTGTATTACTGGTCTGGTGGTGGCAGCAGAGGTGACTCTAGGGTTTTGTTCAGAGCTTAGGTCACGTCATACTGGGTGTAGAATCCTAAGTCGGTCAATCGTCTTAGGACCACGTGGCGTGGAGTTGGCTTTGTTAAAAGTTTTGGAGTCCCTTGGTTTAGAAATAAAAGTAAGAATACGGGTAGAGGGCAAAGAAAGAAGGAAGTAGAGAGAGGTACCCAAACCCGTGTTACAATCTGGGATCCCCCAAGGCTGTGAAGCGGCTGCCCATGCAGCACGAGCATACATCACGACATTTCTGATGAAAAGGCCCTGCTCAAACTGGACTTTAAGAATGCCTTCAACATGGTCAGAAGAGATGCAGTACTTTGTGCCGTACATCGCCATTTCTGGCCCCTCTACCCGTTCATACTATCGTGCTACAGTGGCGAGTCAACACTGCTCTTTGGTGAACACGAAATCAGATCATGTGAAGGTGTTCAGCAAGGTGATCCTCTTGCTCCCCTTCTCTTCTGCTTAGTCTTAAAAGAAATCACCGAAAACTTGTCCAGCGAGTTCAACATCTGGTTTTTGGATGATGGCACTATAGCTGGCACCATAGACCATCTCTTGGAAGGCATCAGAAAAATAAAGGAACAAGAAGCAAGTCTGGGTCTCTTCCTGAACCCTACCAAGTGTGAAGTAGTCTCCTCCAACCCAGACATCGTAGCTAGAATAAGGTCTGCCTTGCCTGGAGCTCATGTCATTAGAGCTGAGAACAGCACTCTCCTTGGAGCCCCCCTTAGGGTGTAACGCCATTGAGGAGATCCTTAATAAGAAAATCACAGACCTCAGGAGGATGGTAGACAGGATAAGTGACATCGATGCCCACGATGCTCTATATCTCCTCACTAAATGCCTATCCCTTCCGAGGCTAAGCTACTTTCTGAGGTGCGCCCCATCTTACAATAGCCCAAAGCTTGAACAGAATGACTTCTTACTTAAGACCACACTAGAAAAAGCTGTAAACCTTTTCCATCAAGGACTGTCAGTGGAAACAAGTCACTCTTCCTGTCAGGTTCCGCGGTCTTGGTGTCCAGACTGCCACCCAAATTGCTGTCCCAGTCTTCCTGTCTTCCTCCTGTCAGGAGGAAGACAGTCATCTGATCTGATGAGCTGATGACATCATCTGATGCTGTCAGGTCATCTGACAGCATTAGATGACCTGGTCAAGGAAATTCTACCTGACAACCTGTGAGACTTAGCAGGGATACAGGACTCCCACTACACGGAATGCAACACAAAATGGGGTGCCATGGCAGACCCAGCACTCAGACCAACCATGCTGAAAGCCAAGAAACAATCCTGCTGGGACAGCCCCATTGTAGACAAAGAAGCCACAGCTTTGCTGGAGGCAGCAACAACCCCCAGTGATCGTGCACGCCTCACAGCTGTGCAGGCTCCCCATGCAGGGGACTTCCTTTTGGTAGTCCCTATGTCTGCGACAGGCACACGTCTTGATCCGCAGGAGCTCAGTATTGCAGTCGCTCTCCGCCTTGCTGTCCCTATCCACACTTGTTCATAGACGTATTTGTGGCGAGGCAGATGCAGACGAATATGGATTACATGTCCAGCACTGTGGAAAATCAGGTGGTTAGCACTCACGACACGACGAAGTCAATGACATCATTAAGAGGAGCCTTGCCTCTGCCCAGTGTCCAGCAGAGAGAGAGCCTTGCAATCTATTGAACCGTAACTCTACTAACTTTGCTGGCCGACCAGACGGAATCACACTGCACCCTTGGAAAAATGGCAGACAATTGGCGTGAGACTGTACTTGCGTATCCACCCCTGGCAGGTTGTTACAGTTGGATCTCTAGACCGCAAGGAACATGGAAGAAAAATGCGCCTTGCATCTTAGATCTTTCTTGATATGACAGCTAGGAGCAGCAGCGGTGACCAACACGACATTACTCGGCCACCGGTACCTGGCCATCTTTGGGGAAGACAGACGGAGACTCACCTGGTTGTAGGCAGGTAAGGGAAGACTCACCTGGTTGTAGAGACTCACCTGGTTGTAGGCAGGTAAGGGAGACTCACCTGGTTGTAGGCAGGTAAGGGAGACTCACCTGGTTGTAGGCAGGTAAGGGAGACTCACCTGGTTGTAGGCAGGTAAGGGAGACTCACCTGGTTGTAGGCAGGTAAGGGAGACTCACCTGGTTGTAGGCAGGTAAGGGAGACTCACCTGGTTGTAGGCAGGTAAGGGGAGACTCACCTGGTTGTAGGCAGGTAAGGGGAGACTCACCTGGTTGTAGGCAGGTAAGGGGAGACTCACCTGGTTGTAGGCAGGTAAGGGGAGACTCACCTGGTTGTAGGCAGGTAAGGGGAGACTCACTTGGTTGTAGGCAGGTAAGGGGAGACTCACCTGGTTGTAGGCAGGTAAGGGGAGACTCACCTGGTTGTAGGCAGGTAAGGGGAGACTCACCTGGTTGTAGGCAGGTAAGGGAAGACTCACCTGGTTGTAGGCAGGTAAGGGGAGACTCACCTGGTTGTAGGCAGGTAAGGGGAGACTCACCTGGTTGTAGGCAGGTAAGGGGAGACTCACCTGGTTGTAGGCAGGTAAGGGAAGACTCACCTGGTTGTAGGCAGGTAAGGGAGACTCACCTGGTTGTAGGCAGGTAAGGGGAGACTCACCTGGTTGTAGGCAGGTAAGGGGAGACTCACCTGGTTGTAGGCAGGTAAGGGAGACTCACCTGGTTGTAGAGACTCACCTGGTTGTAGGCAGGTAAGGGAGACTCACCTGGTTGTAGAGACTCACCTGGTTGTAGGCAGGTAAGGGAGACTCACCTGGTTGTAGGCAGGTAAGGGAGACTCACCTGGTTGTAGGCAGGTAAGGGAGACTCACCTGGTTGTAGGCAGGTAAGGGAGACTCACCTGGTTGTAGGCAGGTAAGGGAGACTCACCTGGTTGTAGGCAGGTAACGGAGACTCACCTGGTTGTAGGCAGGTAAGGGAGACTCACCTGGTTGTAGGCAGGTAACGGAGACTCACCTGGTTGTAGGCAGGTAAGGGAGACTCACCTGGTTGTAGGCAGGTAAGGGAGACTCACCTGGTTGTAGGCAGGTAAGGGAGACTCACCTGGTTGTAGGCAGGTAAGGGAGACTCACCTGGTTGTAGGCAGGTAACGGAGACTCACCTGGTTGTAGGCAGGTAAGGGAGACTCACCTGGTTGTAGGCAGGTAAGGGAGACTCACCTGGTTGTAGGCAGGTAACGGAGACTCACCTGGTTGTAGGCAGGTAAGGGAGACTCACCTGGTTGTAGGCAGGTAAGGGAGACTCACCTGGTTGTAGGCAGGTAAGGGGAGACTCACCTGGTTGTAGGCAGGTAAGGGAGACTCACCTGGTTGTAGGCAGGTAACGGAGACTCACCTGGTTGTAGGCAGGTAAGGGAGACTCACCTGGTTGTAGGCAGGTAACGGAGACTCACCTGGTTGTAGGCAGGTAAGGGAGACTCACCTGGTTGTAGGCAGGTAACGGAGACTCACCTGGTTGTAGGCAGGTAAGGGAGACTCACCTGGTTGTAGGCAGGTAAGGGGAGACTCACCTGGTTGTAGGCAGGTAAGGGAGACTCACCTGGTTGTAGGCAGGTAAGGGAGACTCACCTGGTTGTAGGCAGGTAAGGGAGACTCACCTGGTTGTAGGCAGGTAAGGGAGACTCACCTGGTTGTAGGCAGGTAAGGGAGACTCACCTGGTTGTAGGCAGGTAAGGGAGACTCACCTGGTTGTAGGCAGGTAAGGGAGACTCACCTGGTTGTAGGCCTGCTTGACCACATACGGCAGCAGAGCCTCCTGGAAGTGGTTGATCATCTGGGTGACAATCAACATGGTCGCCACTTGCTGGAAGACACGATACACACAGGTGTCAGAACACAAGGATAAAGGTGACAGGAAAATAAGGGGCACCTTTGGCCCTTGTAGGCAGTGCCTTATTTATACCCATATGCGAGAGAGAAAGTTTCTTTCTGCAGTTCATGGCAGCTATTGAAAGACTATAGGCAGCTCCTGTTTATATTTACCCAAGCTCATTCATATATGTTTAACCTACGCTGGAAACAATCCTGCGACCCCCCACGTCAATTATGTTACCTGCTAATTTGCTCTATAAATCAACAACTTTCTTTTCAAACCAGTATTTACCCAGGTCGGTGCTAAATCTAAACTAATCCAACATATATATATATATCCTTTTTTCGAGTTTTATTTAATGTTGTTATATTTGAAAATGTATTTATATCTCATTTACTATGCCAATTATGTATTTAAGAACAGGAGAAAAACCAGCAAGAACTAACATAATAATTCCTTAACATCCCATCACCTTCAGTTATTAAAGCGATTGAAAAACCTGAAAGTTGGTGGTGTGAGCGGGCAGACCACTTCATGGAGAGAGTTACTGCTCCAAGGTAAATATCATCTCCTTCAGGACCTGCTCACCACACCAGGAAAACCTCTCGAAATAATAATAAAAAGAAAAAGATTTTGCAGAGCGAAGGAGGAAAATTCGACAGGGTTACCCTCGCTCTTTCCAGGAACTGTGTTGCAAAGTGCAAATATTGCAACAGTGGTTACCAGTAGGGGGGGGGGGCAGGGGGGGGGGGCAGGGGGGGGGGCAGGGGGGGGGGGTGGTTCCCGGTGTTTACTGTACCCTATGCCCTACTTCGAGCACCTTTGTCTCCTGTCCACCCCCCACCATGCGCTGTTTGAGGTCCAAACTATCTCGTGGCGCACATGACTGTTTCAGGTACAAGACGTGTCCTGGAGCTCTGGCGGCAGGGGTCCACCCTAACCTTTGGTCTGCTAGATAAAGAAGCCCACATTGTATCGTGACCTTTGGATATAGTTACCCCTCGTTAACCTCTTTAATAATCTAATTAATAACCTACAATTACTAATCTACCATTATCTTTTCAGCACTCGAGGGGTTAACAATTTTCCCCTTGGCTTCTGGAAATCAGAAGTCCCCGGCCACTGTCCTTAGGACCTGAGGTTATCGGGGTCGACGGTAATCCAGGACTCCAGGACTCCAGGACTCCAGGACTCCAGGACTCCAGGACTCCAGGACGCCTCAGCTCCAGCGCCTGGCCCTGAAGGACACTTACCGAGCACAACATGTCCATGTCTTGGATGTAGAACGCGATGTAGAAGAGAGAGGAGAAGTTGTTGACGAACTCGAACACCACGAGCTTGCTCACTCTGTTCCAGTCATACTCTTGCTGCGTCCGATGGTTCTCTGTGCCAAGATATTACATATATATATATATATATATATATATATATATATATATATATATATATATATATATATATATATATATATATATATATATATATATATATAATACATAAAAATATAAGAATTATAGCAACTACAGAAGGTCTACTGGCCCATACGAGGCACCTCCTCTTTCTATCCAGCCAAACTCATTAATATACGAGTCTAACCTAAGCTTGAAACAATCAAGTCATCCCAGGTCTATTATAGCACCTGGTAATTTGTTCCATAAATCAACAAACGTGTTTTCAAACCAGTATTTACCCAGGTCTTTTCTGAATATTTACTTATGCCGTTTATATCCATTGTTTCGTGTTCTATTTAGTCCTAACCTAACCTAACCTAACCTAACCTGACCTGACCTGACCTAATCTAACCTGTTCCTTGTCTAAATGAGCACTCATAAATTAGGCCTAAAAACGTTAGGTCTTTCTTCCCCTCTACAAAATTAATACCACAAAACTTTTTTTTTGTAATAGCTCAGATTTGTTTTACAGGCGCCATGTCTACCTGTCACGTTGACAGATTCACGAAGCAGTTACGTAAGCACTTACGAACCTGTACATCTTTTCTCAATCTTTGGCGACTGTGTTTACAATTATTAAACAGTTAATGAGCTCCGAAGCACCAGGAGGCTGTTTATAACAATAACAACAGTTGATTGGGAAGTTTTCATGCTTGTAAACTGTTTAATAAATGTAACCAAAGCCGTCAGAGATTGAGGAAAGATGTACACGTTCATAAGTGCTTGCGTAACTGCTTCGTGAATCTGGCCCCAGGAACTGGTGTCTGAAAGAGGCAGCATCTTGACCATCTCCTCTCACGGTCAAGCAGAAAACATTCAGCTGTCATAATATACAACAGGTGGCGTGAAATACAGCAGGTGACACAGACATCACCTTCCCCGCGAGAGGTGACCGAGAACGTCGTCGGCGGAGACCTCCAGGAGCAGCAGGCGCCGACACGCAGCGCTGCAAGAGGCGGAGACTTCGCCGCCCGCCGCGATAATTCCCGCCAAATAGAACAGTTATCGTCAGCGGGCTGAAACGCCGGACGGTCTAAAGAAAGGGTTCATTAGTTTCAGTAACATCGAAGTTTCAGTAGGCTGAAACGGAAGACCTTCTCGCCAGCTCGGCGCAAGAGAGGACGCCCAACAATGAAGATATTCGAAACAGATGAGCGGGAACAGCAAGCAGCCTATACCTACAGTATAGGGAGCCAGTCGGCCGAGCGGACAGCACGCTGGACTTGTGATCCTGTGGTCCTGGGTTCGATCCCAGGCGCCGGCGAGAAACAATGGGCAGAGTTTCTTTCACCCTATGCCCCTGTTACCTAGCAGTAAAATAGGTACCTGGGTGTTAGTCAGCTGTTACGGGCTGCTTCCTGGGGGTGGAGGCCTGGTCGAGGACCGGGCCGCGGGGACACTAAAAAGCCCCGAAATCATCTCAAGATAACCTTAAGATAGCCAAAAAAGGATTCAAATGCTTCTGCATACCCGAAGCCCCATCAGGGTGAAAGAAACTCTGCCCATTTGTTTTCGCCTCCACCGGGAATCGAACCCGGAAGGACTACGACATTTTCATTCTGAAAATGAAGAACAAGTCTAACCTTACCTCACGGGATCCCAGCACTCGTGAACGGGAGAGTGAAGGAGAGTTGTTCTTGTGGCCAACAACAACAGTCCGCCTGTCCCCGTACCAGATGAGATCTTGGAGAAAAACGCAGCCATCTACGATACAGCAGCCATCACAGGATGAACAACCCAGCGGGTTTTCTTCCTATTGGGGAGTGTTGTACATGCTGCTATGGTGGTGTGTCCACTCACAAGATGAGTGGCGCTGCCCAATACTGTCACTATGGCGGTGTGTCCACTCACAGGATGAGTGGCGCTGCCCAATACTGTCACTATGGCGGTGTGTCCACTCACAAGATGAGTGGCGCTGCCCAATACTGTCACTATGGCGGTGTGTCCACTCACAAGATGAGTGGCGCTGCCCAATACTGTCACTATGGCGGTGTGTCCACTCACAAGATGAGTGGCGCTGCCCAATACTGTCACTATGGCGGTGTGTCCACTCACAAGATGAGTGGCGCTGCCCAATACTGTCACTATGGCGGTGTGTCCACTCACAAGATGAGTGGCGCTGCCCAATAAACTCGCCCCTCGGGGCAAAATTTTAAAAAATTTAAAGCAGCCATCACACTAGCCGACCACCGCCACGCCCTCACCACCATTGACTTGCCACAACCACCAACACCACCAACCACCACCACAACCACCACAACCACCACCAACACCACCAACCACCAACACCACCAACACCACCAACCACCACCAACCACCACTAACCACCACCAACCACCACAACAACGTCATGTAGTCCAACCCGCCACTTCACATACTAAGTTTTGTAGTACGTCATACTACGTCAAAAACAGGGTCATAGGGAGCCTCCGAGAACTACATGAGATATGGATAGTACTCCAACGATACCTACAGTACAGAGGCACTCACCAACGATACCTACAGCACAGAGGCACCCACCAACGATACCTACAGCACAGAGGCACCCACCAACGATACCTACAGCACAGAGGCACCCACCAACGATACCTACAGCACAGAGGCACCCACCAACGATACCTACAGTACAGAGGCACCCACCAACGATACCTACAGTACAGAGGCACCCACCAACGATACCTACAGTACAGAGGCACCCACCAACGATACCTACAGTACAGAGGCACCCACCAACGATACCTACAGTACAGAAGCACCCACCAACGATATCTACAGTACAGAGGCACCCACCAACGATATCTACAGTACAGAGGCACCCACCAACGATACCTACAGTACAGAAGCACCCACCAACGATACCTACAGTACAGAGGTACCCACCAACGATACCTACAGTACAGAGGCACCCACCAACGATACCTACAGTATAGAAGCACCCACCAACGATACCTACAGTGTAAAAGAGCACACTGAAACCCCAAGATGCAGTTACAGCCCCGCTCCTGTGCCAGGTAAGTCCTCTACGGGCTCACCATAGCCCGTGCTACTTGGAACTTTTGTTCCGAGTAGCTGAATCTAAAACAACAACCCCAAGATGAGAACACCGAGGAACATTCTCTGGCAGCGACGACAACGACGTGGTCAAGAACATGAACATAAGAACATAATCTCAAGAATACTGAGCTTTGCGGGGCGCGGCCGGAGAACTCACTCCCACCACGGTCAACAAGCTAGAAATCGAGGAACAAGTAAACACTGACTTGACAGTGAAAGTGGAGAGGGGAAAAATGTCACTGCTATTTTGCTACTCCCTGATACCCGCCCGCCACGATATGCTGCATACCCGCCCGCCACGACATGCCGCATACTTGCCCGCCACGATATGCTGCATACCCGCCCGCCACGACATGCCGCATACTTGCCCGCCACGATATGCTGCATACCCGCCCGCCACGACATGCCGCATACCCGCCCACCACGATATGCTGCATACCCGCCCGCCACGACACGCCGCATTCCCGCCCGCCACTACACGCCGCATACCCGCCCGCCACGATATGCTGCATACCCGCCCGCCACGACATGCCGCATACCCGCCCGCCACGATACCCTCATACCCGCCCACCATACTTGTGTAAAGGAGGAAATGTATATGTTTATCTCTCAGATAATGTATATTATCTTCGGTAATACGTTTATTGCTTGTGATGTGTGTATATGTATGTATTAACACGATGTACTGAACGGGGTGAGAATAGCTTGAGCAACCTCATCCCTTTGTGTGTATTTTACCTCAATAAACTTATTTCAATTTCAATTTCAAACCCACCCGCCCCCCACGCTCAGCACACACAGGAGCAGAAAGCAACAGATGCATCGCTCTACAAAGCACAAACACCGGGATGGGGGGGGGGGAGGCGGATATAGCTACAAGAAGCTTGCCTCTCAAAAATCCAGCCGACATCCTCCTGTTTTGTTAGAAGTTATAGTAACGATGCGGACCATAGTACATATACCGACTTACAACGAAATTACACAGTAGAAATCTGCACTATTGAGTTGGACAAACCGGAAAACTATTTGTTACTTGTGTTGTAGAGACAAACTAAACTAGCCTAACCTCCCTAGGCCTAATGCACGTTATCTGAGGCCTAATATAGTACAAATGTGTGCTATATTAGGTCTAGGGAATATTTAGGTTTGTTTTTTAGCTTCATTTGTTTTAAAAGAACTCCTTACTAGTCAGTATACTTTTATCTAAGAGCTAAAAACGTACGAATTCGTGACTATTGACCACTGTCATAATAGGTACTGTCTAAACAGGACGGGGGGGGGGGAAATGTTCAAAATGTCCGCCAGTTCATCAAATTAAAAGAACCGAACAACGGGGAAGGAAATGCTGCACGACGCCGCCTGAATGTCGTGAAAGCACGAACGCGACGACAAGAGACGTAAGGAACCTGAACACGAGAACAAAGATTGACCTGAGCGCCCTCTGACCCGTCACCATCGCCGCCCAAGCTGGGTCAAGCTCCGGCTCTATGCAGGCGATGAGTCACAATAACGTGGCTAAAGTATGATGACCAGACCACACACTAGAAGGTGAAGGGACGACGACGTTTCAGTCCGTCCTGGACCATTCTCAAATCGACTTGAGAATGGTCCAGGACGGACCGAAACGTCGTCGTCCCTTCACATTCTAGTGTGTGGTCTGGTCATCCGGCTCTATCTCTCCTCCTGCAAGCAACTCCCTCTTCCCCAAGCTGCTCCTTCAACGCTCCCCACTGCCCCGCTCACCCACAACGATTGAGTAATTGATCAAGATTAAGCCTACCAGGAGGTGGCACGGGCATGAATAACCCCCGCTTACCCACTATAATATCAATTATCTTTATATCGAAACCCTCCTCTCCATCAGCGTGTGTGCATAAAGCACAGCACCGCTCCTGTGCCAGGTAAGTTCACTACGGGCTCACCATAGCCCGTGCTACTTGCCCAGCTCCTGTGCCAGGTAAGTTACGGGCTCACCATAGCCCGTGCTACTTGCCCAGCTCCTGTGCCAGGTAAGTTACGGGCTCACCATAGCCCGTGCTACTTGCCCAGCACCTGTGCCAGGTAAGTTACGGGCTCACCATAGCCCGTGCTACTTGCCCAGCACCTGTGCCAGGTAAGTTACGGGCTCACCATAGCCCGTGCTACTTGCCCAGCTCCTGCGCCAGGTAAGTTACGGGCTCACCATAGCCCGTGCTACTTGCCCAGCTCCTGCGCCAGGTAAGTTACGGGCTCACCATAGCCCGTGCTACTTGCCCAGCTCCTGTGCCAGGTAAGTTACGGGCTCACCATAGCCCGTGCTACTTGCCCAGCACCTGTGCCAGGTAAGTTACGGGCTCACCATAGCCCGTGCTACTTGCCCAGCACCTGTGCCAGGTAAGTTACGGGCTCACCATAGCCCGTGCTACTTGCCCAGCTCCTGCGCCAGGTAAGTTACGGGCTCACCATAGCCCGTGCTACTTGCCCAGCTCCTGCGCCAGGTAAGTTACGGGCTCACCATAACCCGTGCTACTTGCCCAGCTCCTGTGCCAGGTAAGTTACGGGCTCACCATAGCCCGTGCTACTTGCCCAGCTCCTTTGCCAAGTAAGTTACGGGCTCACCATAGCCCGTGCTACTTGCCCCGCTCCTGTGCCAGGTAAGTTACGGGCTCACCATAGCCCGTGCTACTTGCCCCGCTCCTGTGCCAGGTAAGTTACGGGCTCACCATAGCCCGTGCTACTTGCCCCGCTCCTGTGCCAGGTAAGTTACGGGCTCACCATAGCCCGTGCTACTTGCCCAGCTCCTGTGCCAGGTAAGTTACGGGCTCACCATAGCCCGTGCTACTTGCCCAGCTCCTGCGCCAGGTAAGTTACGGGCTCACCATAGCCCGTGCTACTTGCCCAGCTCCTGTGCCAGGTAAGTTACGGGCTCACCATAGCCCGTGCTACTTGCCCAGCTCCTGTGCCAGGTAAGTTACGGGCTCACCATAGCCCGTGCTACTTGCCCCGCTCCTGTGCCAGGTAAGTTACGGGCTCACCATAGCCCGTGCTACTTGCCCCGCTCCTGTGCCAGGTAAGTTACGGGCTCACCATAGCCCGTGCTACTTGCCCAGCTCCTGTGCCAGGTAAGTTACGGGCTCACCATAGCCCGTGCTACTTGCCCAGCTCCTGCGCCAGGTAAGTTACGGGCTCACCATAGCCCGTGCTACTTGCCCAGCTCCTGTGCCAGGTAAGTTACGGGCTCACCATAGCCCGTGCTACTTGCCCAGCTCCTGTGCCAGGTAAGTTACGGGCTCACCATAGCCCGTGCTACTTGCCCCGCTCCTGTGCCAGGTAAGTTACGGGCTCACCATAGCCCGTGCTACTTGCCCAGCTCCTGTGCCAGGTAAGTTACGGGCTCACCATAGCCCGTGCTACTTGCCCAGCTCCTGTGCCAGGTAAGTTACGGGCTCACCATAGCCCGTGCTACTTGGAACTTCCGAGTAGCTGAATCTATAACAACAACAACATCCACTAGCGTCATCTCTTCCCTCCCCTACCTGAAACTCCTCCCCCTATCTCACCCCTTCCTACTTCCACAACTCCCTGGCCTCCCCCCCATCTCTCTCCCCCCCCAACACCCCCACACCACCGTCCCATTAACGATGTGTGTGGTGTGTTACCAAGCACGTGACACCACCACCACCGTCACATTAACGATGTGTGTGGTGTGTTACCAAGCACGTGACACCACCACCACCGTCACATTAACAATGTGTGTGGTGTGTTACCAAGCACGTGACACCACCACCACCGTCACATTAACGATGTGTGTGGTGTGTTACCAAGCACGTGACACTACCACCACCGTCACATTAACGATGTGTGTGGTGTGTTACCAAGCACGTGACACCACCACCACCGTCACATTAACAATGTGTGTGGTGTGTTACCAAGCACGTGACACCACCACAAACATGTCAACAAACGGAGCCTCACAGACGAAAACATTAATTATGTCTACTGACTCATGCAGCCTCGTCCCGGAAAACTTTTAATGAGCACTAAACCACACTTGCCTTCGCGAGGGCAACTTATTTACATTAAGCAAACTTGCCTTGCGACTGGAAATATGCAGAAAAGTTCTCATTAGCCTTGTAAAGTTCTACTTGAGCTGAATAAAAATGATTCTTAAAGTCACCAAACTTTATGTAACTAAATTACAAATAATTGTTTTAATAAAATTGTCTAAGTGACAGTTATTAATAATAAATACTCTATTAATAGCTTAGTTTTACCAAGCTCGTTATAAACGTTTTAATTTTTACTATATATAAATTAAAGCCAATAACATCAGCAAAATTACAAAAGATAAATACTATAAAAATCAATTACTCCGGGATCACCATAGCCCGTGCTACTTGTTCCATGTAGCTGAACCGTAAAACAACAACGAATTCCATACTCTCGTTATTTAAACAATTAAAATATAATTTAGTCCGGAACTCTGTCCAGGACAGAGCCGGTCGGCCGAGCGAACAGCACGCTGGACGTGTGATCCTGTGGTCCTGTGTTCGATCCCGGGCGCCGCGAGAAACAATGGGCAGAGTTTCTTTCACCCTATGCCCCTGTTACCTAGCAGTAAAATAGGTACCTGGGTGTTAGTCAGCTGTCACGGGTTGCTTCCTTAGGGTGGAGGCCTGGTCGAGGACCGGGCCGCGGGGACACTAAAAGCCCCGAAATCATCTCAAGATAACCTCAAGATAAGGACACATGTATAATTACAGGTTAGTCAGTAAGCTGTTGTGAAGGTCTTAATAATCTTCCATACAATGATATAGACGTTAGTGAAGCTCCACACCAATTACAACATAGTAAATTTGGGTTTATCACGGGCATAAGTTCGAACCCTCATCACGGCCCTTGTGGATTTGTTCAACATAGCAAATCACACCGTCCTTGTATATCAAAGTCAGACGGAAAAGTGATGTAGAGCCAGAGAGTGTAGTTCAAGTTGTTAATGAGTTTGAGTAGTTGAGGGATGGCATCACGAGGGGGGGGGAAGGCACTGCCACAGACACCATGACACGTCCAGGACGTGTTCCGGTGGATGGGAAGGTAACTATCAGGGGAAAGCGCCAAGCCATTACGACTATATAGCACTGGGAAGGGGCCAGGATAAGGATTTGGGATGGGACGGTGGGGGAAGGAATGGTGGCCAACCACTTGGACGGTCGGGCATTGAACGCCGACCTACATGAAGCGAGACCGTCGCTCTACCGTCCACCCGAAGTGGTTGGGCTCACTCCGGTGTAATCTCCTAGTGTTGCAACATAACTACCGGTCCTCGCTAACAGTACATCGCCTTTGTGACGTATTAATCCCCTACGGCCAAAGACTGGTGTTCTACAAATCACAGAGGCTCGGAAAGAAATGACGTGATGACCCGTTTTCTATTCGTGAGTCCTGGGGATAGGTTAGGTTCGGGTACCTTAGGACATGAGACTTTAGTGCCGTCGGGAGCGGTCAAGAGGACGGGCTATCAGGAGAGCCTTGTGGTCCACAGCGGGGGACTTGACTGCCGTTAACTTGGGTGATAAAACAAGTCTGGATGCCGACGGTGAAGACCATTCTGTAAATGGCTATTAATGGCTTATATCTAAGTAGAAGTTGTTGTTGACTTAGCTTTCTCCTCCACCTGTACACACCTGACACTATGTGGCGTAGAGGAGGTAGTGGCCAGCACTGTGGCACACTGAAGGATATTACAAGTTGTTTTCACATATCCATACATTAAAACATTGATTGTACCCATGATATATATGTGCTTCAGCCTACAGTTTAGACCTATTGTCTTATGTATGACCCTCTGTCCTGCGTGACAGTGAATACCAGCATTATCCTCACTTTAATGAGACTATCAAAATCCTCAGATTAGGCAAAATTGTAATTCATTTTGTCAATAAAGATGTTAATAATAATAAGGATATTACATGTTGACCAGACCACACACTAGAAGGTGAAGGGACGACAAGGTGAAGGTGTCGTCCCTTCACCTTCTAGTGTGTGGTCTGGTCAACATACTTTAGCCACGTTATTGTGACTCATCGCCTGTATATGGATATTACATGTACAGGAGGGGAGGGAGCTATCAGGGAGGGAAAGCATCAAGCCATTACGACTATATATCATTGGGAAGGGGTCAGGATAAGGATTTGGGATAGGACGGGGTGGGGTAAGGAATGGTGCTCAACCACTTGGACGGTCGCGGGATTGAACGCCGACCTGGATGAGGCGAGACCGTCGCTCTACCGTCCAGCCCAAGTGGCTGTACATGTACATGAACAACGAGCATGGGCCGATGTTTGAGACACACTGTACTCCTAGCTATCTAGCGGTGCATCTAGATATCACGATATCACAGCTAGCAGGAGCGAGCACTCACCCCACTCGGTAAGACTGGTGGCCAGCCTCTTGTAGTAGAGGTTCATGAGCCAGACCAGACAGGCGTAGAGAGCCGAGGGCACGTGCATGAAGACCCCGGCCACGGCGCCGTAGCGACGCTTCCAGTCCACCAGCTGCTCCTCGGCCCAAAAGGCTCCGACCATCACCCACAGCGCCCCCACCAGGCACAGCCCCACCAGCGGCGCTGAGATCAGGTACAACTGCAACACAATACAAGTAAGGAAATTGCAGATGGCCTGTAGGACGCGGCTCCTATTTATATCCACTATAACATTCATATATATATATATATATATATATATATATATATATATATATATATATATATATATATATATATATATATATATATATATATATATATATATGTCTAACCTACGCTTGAAACAATCCAGGGATCCCACTTTTATTATGTTACCCGGTAATTTAATCCACACATCAGTAATCCTGTTTTCAAAACAGTATTTACCCAGGTCTTTCCAAACTCTAAACTGATCCAATTTATATCCGTTGTTTCGTGTTCCATTTTAAGTTGATATAGTTGATACCTTATTAATATCCCCGCTGTCATGTCCATTCATCCATTTGTACACGTCAGTCATATTACCCCTAACTCTATATAAGTTAGATTAACATTTTTAAAATCACTACATTACCTTCTGTGGTTGATCAATAAATCAGTGAACTATATGTTTAATAGCTCTTTCATCCTGTCCATGGAGGACAGAAGAAAATGTATATATGTTGGTTAGCATTGTAAATGTGTGGCCACGTCTGTGGTAGATACAGTGCTATAGCGCGGTTAAGGGGGTACTCAACTGTTCATGGATAAAGGGGAACAAGAACTCTTACCAGAATATATTTGCAATAGTAATGTTAAACCCCTAATATCAATATAAGTAGGTAATGGTGGCTGTAACTGCTTCTAGTACACTACAAGCGTCATGGAAACAGCTGTTTCATGTAAACATTGCAGCCATTAGCAATGTTATGTTCGGGTTTGTCAGTAGCCATAGCCAGAGTGTCTGAAGCACTGGAGCCAGATTCACGAAGCAGTTATGTAAGTTCTTACGAACGTGTACATCTTTCCTCAATTTTTAACGGCTTTGGTTACATTTATTAAACAGTTTACAAGCATGAAAACTTCCCAATCAACTGTTGTTATTGTTATAAACAGCCTCCTGGTGCTTCGAAGCTCATTAACTGTTTAATAATTGTAAACAAAGCCGCCAAAGATTGAGAAAAGATGTACAGGTTCGTAAGTGCTTGCGTAATTACTTCGTGAATCTGGACCCAGGCCAGAGTCGCAAATTTATGTCCGGAGCCGTAACCAGAGTCGCCGTAACAGAGTTACAAACACGCAACAGTAGCACTGACCTTAGTCACGAAAACATGTCCGAATCACTGGCTAGTGACCAACACAAAACAGTATAACCCTCTATGTATTTTTGCTATACTACAATATATGTTTATTCAATTTGTTATGGATAATTTGGGAGTAAATAATTACTCAGCTCTGTTAACTATTGATAACTAATAATTACGTCGTACATAAAGAAGAACACTTGTCATTTAAATCGTTTAACAATCAGGCACCCATTCACTGCTGGGTGAACAGCGGCGTACAGTTAAGGATTGGCGACTAGTCAATCTTCTCCGCCAAGGATACGAACCCAGGCCAAATCGCTGGCGATGCCCGGTGAGAGTGTTTTACCACTGAGCCACGAAGACTAACGATCATCACGAACGACACACACACACACACACACACACACACACACACACACACACACACACACACACACACACACACACACACACACACACACACACACACACACACACACACACACACACACACACACAGGTATGATAGGGAAATGGGACAGGAGTCATTGCTGTAAACAACCGATAGCTAGAAAGGCGGGATCCAAGAGTCAATGCTCGATCCTGCAAGCACATATAGGTGAGTACATATAGGTGAGTACACACACACGTCCGCCACAACTTCCTTTGTTTCAGTCTCCCCTCCCGTGATGGAAATGAGTTGGTACGCCATACACAATTTTGTGTTTATGTTAAATTTCTGTATTCATGGAAGACTTAATAATTATCCCTTGTCAAGTTTCCATCAATTAAAATTACGTGTTTATTTGTTATAATTATGGATGAACCCTCTGGATACAGCCCAAGTGTGTATATATATACCAGTTCCAGAGGGCGTAGAAATAGCCTAAGCTACTCTATCCCTTTGAGATGTATTTCTTTCTTGTCTCAATAAACATACTTGAACTATATCAGTTCCCAAAACCCATTCCCCTCACTGTTTCTGTCAATAATGACTCCCTATACGTAGCTTGGGGGGGGGGAGTCTAGATGGTATTTGAAAGCTGCTCCCAGAGATCTTTCCGAATTACCATTCTGCAGATACATCCCTGGCAGCAAACCCTGCACCTCCAATGGCTTTCTGTCGCCGGGACACTCTTACCGTCCATGTTAATCTCTGTTCTTTCTGGATTGAGGTCGACGACCCAGAACTACAAATTATATGTTTTTCCTGCAGAATTGTAGGCCTGTTTAGAGTGTTTTTGACCCTAGTGTCGTCTCAGTTTTCATATTATATATATATATCTACATAAAACATACATATTTTATATTTACTATATCTCTCCCACATTTTGATAACTAAGCTAAGTATTTATGAAACTCGTATGACAACTGACGTCCATGCTAATAGTATTAATACTACTTATAGATATAAATATTTATATTAATATTTGATCAAGAAATCTTTATTAAAACAGTATAACATTTTGATAACACATACAGTATATTTATGTTTATATAAATATATAAAAGGAATTTATAACGTTTATTTCAACATTTCATGACCGCTTTTCTGTTATCTAATTACGTTACATAAACATAAAAGTGTAGCCAGCTTCGCGGTGAATACTGACAGAGAATTTAGTTTAGACCTTGACAATGTCCAGAACTTTATAAAGTTTACCTGTTGGTTAGTGAGTTTACGCCTGAGTGGCTTTACTACGTTGTAATCTGCTCTCGCACAAGACAGCACAAATATGACTTATTGCTTATGCAACCCTAGTCTGCTGCTATCCAGGGCGTGATGCGGGTGTACAGAATGGATAGGTCTTAATCCCTGGATAGATTTTAATTCCAACATCATTTTTTTAAATTAATTGTGAGGGATGATAGTCCTATGTCTGTTAGTGGCAGATGTAGTGCTTGTAGTTATTAATATAAACGAATATAGCTGTATTTGTTGTAGCAGTGAATTGTTCATTAGGCTATGTTTCAATGTTTCTATTTTCATTTCCGTGGAATTATTTATTATTATCATATGTTATAGCTTTATGTAAATGTATTCCTGTCAGTGAAACGAAGAGTGGTAAGAGAGCCTTCTGTTTTTCTCCCTTAACTCAAACAAAAAAAATTTGCCCAATTGGGCACAATATATCTGAAAGATCATCGTTCATTCGTTAATTCTTTCAATACATTTATCCTCTCACCTCTCCTATGCTATATCATCTTCCCTCACTTCCAGACACTTTGATTCCCTTCCATCCCCCACACAACTTCATTTGTATGATGCAAGAACGTTGTTACAACAATGATTCTTTACCGGGTATCGAACTCCTCCATTTTCCATCCGTCTCTCACCTTAAACCTGGTCTTCCAGAGGGGGTAGGTGGGTTCGAATCGTCCCGTAATGGGGTTTTGCTTCATGGTTCCCCTGAAGTTTGACCTGGGAGCCTCCAGCAGGTATTGCCTGTCCAGCGTACCCCAGCTGTACGCCAGCTCAGAGCACCGCCGCTTCCATAGCTGTGGGGACAAAGTACCGTTGAGAATAAGGGTTATTTAGGCTACAGGCCGGAGGTGGCGGGAGGTGGTGCTGTAAAAAATGGCGGGAATGGTGAAAACTGGCGGGAATGGTGAAAAATGGCGGGAATGGTGAAAAATGGCGGGAATGGTGGAAAAATTAGCAGGAAAGTTATATTATAACATCATGGCCGCATAAGTCATCAATCCATAATGAGCTATTGATGTAAATCATTACTGTAATTAAACATTTATGAGTTGCAAAACAAATATAAATTAAAAATGCTAACAATATACGCATATGTACACACACAAATACTCACACGTGTAATATATATATATATATATATATATATATATATATATATATATATATATATATATATATATATATATATATATATATATATATATGTCGTACCTAATAGCCAGAACGCACTTCTCAGCCTACTATGCAAGGCCCGATTTGCCTAATAAGCCAATTTTTCCTGAATTAATATATTTTTTCTAACTTTTTTCTTATGAAATGATAAAGCTACCCATTTTCATTATGTATGAGGTCATTTTTTTTATTGGAGTTAAAATTAATGTAGATATATGACCGAACCTAACCAACCCTACCTAACCTAACCTAACCTATCTCTATCGGTTAGGTTAGGTTAGGTAGCAGAAAAAGTTAGGTTAGGTTAGGTTAGGTAGGTTAGGTAGTCGAAAAAACATTAATTCATGAAAACTTGGCTTATTAGGCAAATTGGGCCATGCATAGTTGGCTGAGAAGTGCGTTCTGGCTATTAGGTACGACATATATATATATATATGTCGTACCTAGTAGCCAGAACTCACTTTTTGGCCTACTATTCAAGGCCCGATTTGCCTAATAAGCCAAGTTTTCATGAATTAATTGTTTTTCGACTACCTAACCTACCTAACCTAACCTAACCTAACTTTTTCGGCTACCTAACCAAACCTAACCTATAAAGATAGGTTAGGTTAGGTAGGGTTGGTTAGGTTCGGTCATATATCTACGTTAATTTTAACTCCAATAAAAAAAAATTGACCTCATACATAATGAAACGGGTAGCTTTATCATTTCATAAGAAAAAAATTAGAAAAAATATATTAATTCAGGAAAACTTGGCTTATTAGGCAAATCGGGCCTTGAATAGTAGGCCAAAAAGTGAGTTCTGGCTACTAGGTACGACATATATATATATATATATATATATATATATATATATATATATATATATATATATATATATATATATATATATGTCGTACCTAATAGCCAGAACTCACTTTTTGGCCTACTATGCAAGGCCCGATTTGCCTAATAGGCCAAGTTTTCCTGAATTAATATATTTTCTCTAATTTTTTTCTTATGAAATGATAAAACTACCCATTTCATTATGTATGAAGTCATTTTTTTTTATTGGAGTTAAAATTAACGTAGATATATGACCGAACCTAACCAACCCTACCTAACCTATCCTAACCTATCTCTATAGGTTAGGTTCGGTTAGGTAGCCGAAAAAGTTAGGTTAGGTAGGTTAGGTAGTCGAAAAACAATTAATTCATGAAAACTTGGCTTATTAGGCAAATCGGGCCTTGCATAGTAGGCTGAGAAGTGCATTCTGGCTACTAGGTACGACATATATATATATATATATATATATATATATATATATATATATATATATATATATATATATATATATATATGTCGTACCTAGTAGCCAGAACTCACTTCTCAGCCTACTATTCAAGGCCCGATTTGCCTAATAAGCCAAGTTTTCCTGAATTAATATATTTACTATAATTTTTTTCTTATGAAATGAAAAAGCAACCCTTTTCTCTATGTATGAGGTCAATTTTTTATTATTGGAGTTAAAATTAACGTAGATATATGACCGAACCTAACCAACCCTACCTAACCTAACCTAACCTATATTTATAGGTAAGGTTAGGTTAGGTAGCCAAAAAAAGCTAGGTTAGGTTAGGTTAGGTAGGTTAGGTAGACGAAAAAACATTTATTCATGAAAACTTGGCTTATTAGGCAAATCGGGCCTTGAATAGTAGGCTGAGAAGTGCGTTCTGGCTATTAGGTACGACATATATATATATATATATATATATATATATATATATATATATATATATATATATATATATATATGTCTCATTGAATATGACCGCATATTCTGTATTTACATTATTTTCTTAGCATCAGGGCTTAGCTGAAAGAGGAGTTCTCCAAAACTCATTTCCGTAATTTCAAGGTGAAGAAAAAGAGTGAATTACTATAGAATGTATTACACTTATTTATACAATTTGCACAACGTTTCGAACCTCCATGGTTCATTCTCAAGTGAAAAGAATTTTCAGAACTGGTTGATTTATACCCGCACTGGGTCAGGTGATAAGACTATTCACTCAAACTAGTTGGGCAGTTTGTTGCGTGCCGCAATGGGAACGCTGAAGCAGTAGAGATGAGCATGGGGTTGAGAGCCATTAGGATGCGAGAACACACTTCTTAATTAAGACGTCTCATTTTGGTCGTCCCACGTACAAATTACAAAGCGATTTGAAGAGCTGCGACTCGCATAACATCCACGTTTTCTATGTATGGCTTGGTGATGGCGTAAGCTGCGTGCCTTAATGGGTTCTGTTAGTGTCTGGTTAAGTTAATACGTTGTATTTCGTCTACCACCACCACTACCACCCACACTACCACCACCACTACCACCCCCACCACCCACCTCCAGGAGGATGGTGACCCAGACGAGGTTGAAGGCAGCGAAGAGGGCGTACTCCGTCAGGGTGTCGACGGAGAGGATGGTCTGCGCCAGGCCCAGCACGGCCGGCACCACCAGCGCCACCGTGTAGAACCCCAGGAAACTAAAGTACATGGCCACGGCCTCCCCGAAGTACGCCCGGATCTCCTCTGTGGGTGAAGTTATCATACAGTGAGTAGGGTCATCATACAGTGAGTGGGATCATCATACAGTGAGTGGGGGTCATCATATAATGAGTGGGGGCATCATACAGTGAGTGGGGGTCATCATATAATGAGTGGGGGCATCATACAGTGAGTGGGGGTCATCATATAATGAGTGGGGGCATCATACAGTGAGTGGGGATCATCATACAGTGAGTGGGGGCATCATACAGTGAGTGGTGTCATCATACAGTGAGTGGGATCATCATACAGTGAGTGGGGGCATCATACAGTGAGTGGGGGCATCATACAATGAGTGGAGTCATCATACAATGACTGGGATCATCATACAATGAGTGGGGGTCATCATACAGTGAGTGGAGGACTAATGGTGAGGTTAATGGTGAACTCGTGCAGTTAACAGTGACATTGTTTGGTTAATGGTGACTTCATGTAGGCCATAATGATGTCATGAGGTAAGCTGTAACATCGGGAGGTAGTTTATGAAAACATCATTCATATGGCAGTGACCTCATGCGGTTAATAGTGACGTCATGCTGTTAACAGTGACCTCAGGCGGTTAATAGTGATGTCATGTTGTTAACAGTGACCTCATGCGGATAATTTTAACGTAATGCAGTTAACAATGACCTCATGCGGTAATAGTGATATATACGGCTAAAGCTCATCATCATGCTGTTAATGGCAACATCAATGCGGTTAACGGTGGCATAGTACAGTTATTAGTGACATCACGCGGTTAATAAGGACGTCATACAACCCGTCCGCGACTCAAGTCCATTCCATCCAGCGGTTGACCCCACAGACGCATTCATCAATTTTAACATGCTGTTAATTTAAGACGGGAACTTTCTCAAATATAAATTAATATTATAATATATTAGCATATTGTGCATATATAGGCATAGATTAGGTTAGGTGTTTAGATTCTGTTGGCGATTATTTGTATTTGTAGTACGTGGGTGAAGCATTTACAGCGTTGTGGTTCGAACAAAAGTCGTCAGTGAAGCACTTGTTCCGGAAGTGTTCGAACGTCAGCAGTTGTGAGTCCAGCCCGTCCTCCAAACAAAGATCCAAAAGTGATTCCATGCACCCGCCAAACCCCCTGTTTATGAATGAAAAACGGTTTACACACGACTCACAACTGCTGACGTTCGAACATATCCGGAACAAGTGCTTCACTGATAAATTTTGTTCGAATCGCAACGCTCTAAATGCTTCACCCACGTACTACAAATACAAATAATTGCCAACAGAACCTAAACACCTAACCTAACCTATCCTATGCCTATATATACACAATATGCTAATATATTATAATATTAATTTATACTTGAGAAAATTCCCGTTTTGAATAAACAGCATGTTAAAATTTATGAATGCGTCTCTGGGGTTGACCGCTGAATGTAATGGACTTGAGTCGAGGACGGGTTGGTGAGTCGTGTGTAAACCGTTTATCATTCATAAACAGCTGGGGGGTTGGCGGGTGGATGGAATGGACTTTGGGTCTTTGTTTGGAGGACGGGCTGGTTAACGAGAGGGTGATACACAAACTACAGCAGAACAAGGAACTGGCTGATGCGGCGTTACAGAATGTAAGCTGGAATGATACAGCGATTTAACGACCCAGTTACAGTAAGAGCGAGATATGCACATTGAGGTAATAATCCATATAACGTCATGGAAATTTAAACAACGATATAGCGAGAAGAATAAAGGATTCTGCGTTTTAAACACCGCTAAAGAGAAAAAAATAAAAGATTCGGCGTTTTAAACAACGATTTAAACAAACATAAATTGAAAAGGTTATGAAGTTATAAGCAGATGAAACGATAAGAGAGATATTGCAATGACATCTTAAACGATATTTATTTATTTATTTATTTATTTATTTATTTATTTATTTATTTATATACAAGAAGGTACATTGGGTTTGTGAGAATACATAGCAAAGTATATACAATCTTGTAAAGCCACTAGTACGCGCAGCGTTCGGGGCAGAAACAGATATATACATCACAGTAGCTGCTTAACAAAGGACGATCCACATAGCAAGAAAAAAAAAGACATTGAATCAAATAAAACAAAAATGATACAGAACGAGAACCTAAATTCCCCCAAACAGCAAAAAAATAAAAAATAAAAAATCCAATTTTAAACTGAACCAAAACAACGCACCAAATTCAGATACCAACCGCCACCGAGAGAAAAAAAAACACCACAAGGCTATAGCATGAAATTAATATTGTGTATCTCTTTTTTTTGTGTGGTTGTGGGGGGTTGAGGAGGGGTTGGGAGAGGAGGAGCCCGTGTTCATCACTACCTCGAGGGGCCTGCAATTGTCTTGTCACGGCTGCAGCCTCATGTATAACCCCAAAGGGCCGTTAATGCGCAGTTTAACATACGAATACCTTGAAGGAAGCTGGTGGTGGTGGTGGTGGGGGGGGGTGAGGGGGAGGGGGAGGGAGAGGGGGGGGAGTTGTTGCACTAATTGATGGGGGAGTTGGGTGGGGGGGGGGGAGCGGGGCAGTTGTTGCACTAGTTGAAGGGGGAGTTAGAATGATTGTTGATCTCATGCAACTTGTCGTCTCGGGCACACACACACACACACACATACACAATTCCTGTTGATTGACGGTTGAGAGGCGGGACCAAAGAGCCAGAGCTCAACCCCCGCAAACACAACTAGGTGAGTACACACACGCACACAGGAAGCAGCCCGTAACCGCTGTCTAACTCCCAGGGGCCTATTTACTGATAGGTATTAGGGGGCATCAGAGTAAAAGAAACTGCCCATTTTGTTTCTGCCATCGCCGGGAATGGAACCCGGACCCTAGGATTACGGGTCCCAAGCGCTGTCCACTCCACCACAGGCCCCCTCATTTAGCGCAGGGACTTCTCCTTGTTCTATTGTGAAGACCTCCTGGAATAGCTTGTTGAGTTCTTCACACACTTTGTCATTCCCTGTGTATCTGTTCTCTCTTTTTCTCAGTTTCATCACTTGTGTGTTTACTAGTTGTGTTTTTGCGGGGGTTGAGCTTTGCTCTTTCGGCCCGCCTCTCAACTGTCAATCAACTGTTTACTAACTACTTTTTTTTTCCACACCACACACACACACACACACACACACACACACCAGGAAGCAGCCCTGCGACAGCTGACTAACTCCCAGGTATCTATTTACTGCTAGGTAACAGGGGCACTTAGGGTGAAAGAAACTTTGCCCATTTGTTTCTGCCTCCTGCGGGAATCGAACCCGCGCCACAGAATTACGAGTCCTGCGCGCTATCCACCAGCCTACGAGGCCCCTGTGTGTGTGTATGCGCGTGTGTACGTAAAAGTGTGCATGTATTATATATATATATATATATATATATATATATATATATATATATATATATATATATATATATATATATATATGTCGTACCTAGTAGCCATAACGCACTTCTCGGCTTACTATGCAGGGCTCAATTTGCCTAATAGGCCGAGTTATTTTTCTTTATTTTCAATAAATTGTTTTCAATTAGTTTAAAATAATAATTATTATTATATTATATTAAGAACATCAGTTATTCACTTAAATGTGCTATTTTAGGATAGTTTGAGTTAGGCAGGGTTGGTTAGGTTCGGTCAAATATCTACGTTAGTTTTAACTCAAATTTAACAAAATTAACTCATACATAATGAAATGGATAGCTTTATCATTTCATAAGAAAAACTATTTGAAAATTATATAAATTCAAGAAAACTTGGCTGATTTGAAGTGATTTTCAGCTCTTGTGCTCCGTCTCCACCACCAATCAACTACTGAGCCCTTTAGAGCCTTTCTACCCTCACATGCTACCACCCAGACGTCTTCAGAAGCACGAGGTCGCCATCCTCACCCAACCCGCCCCTCTGCCCTAGGACACTGTCGACCTCCAGGAGTCAAGCTCAATGTTCAATATCACTCACAACGGTACGTTACTGCGCTATTGCCAAACCGGTTCACTTGGAATTTTAGAATTTATGTCTGTTATTAATGGCCCCCTCATTATAGCTTGGCAGCGCCAGGAACAATGGCTTTTAGGCTATTGTTATGCAAATGCTTTTACATAAATAAGTTTAACATATAGTAAGGGAATACATTTTTTTTTGTCCTGCCAATTGGGTGATTGTGGAATAAATGTTTAGGGGACGGAGACAGAGGATATGATTGCCCTCGGAGCCGCATGTGTAATCATTAGTATTGTTCAATTGACATGTCAATAAATACCCAGGTTCAATATGTATTTTAAACTGGTGGTGCAATAAAACCGGGGGACGGGGTAGCCTAGTTTGGTGTCACGGCCCCTTTTGTGGGGGGCCTGAGTAAATATACACCTCTTAGTGTATATACGCATCTTAGTGTATATACACCTCTCAGTATGTATACATCTCTCAGTGTATATACACCTCTTGATGAATATATATATATTCAAGGGTCTCGGTTCTGCTGTTAGGTTCGTTCTCCAATCACAATCGGAAATCCCGGATTCGAATCCTCGGCAGAAACGGAAATTGTTGGGCACCTTTCCTATCACCTAATGCACCTGTTCACCTATTGGTAAATAGGTACCCGAGAGTTAAGTCAGCAGTTGAGAGGCAACATTCTTGGCAGGGTCAGTTTTAGGATATGTATTTCCATATTCGGATCTTATTCATGCATAATATTATTGAGATCTTTGAAACTATTATCAACCTTGTGTTCGTTGATCTACATATATGCAGTTTATATATAAAAAAGAGCTAGAAGTTTAAAGGTTGCCTTACCCAACTTTCCAAGAAGAAACATGGGGGGAGGGATGGGAATGTCATTAGCCAGTCGGGGTCGGCCCCAGTGCCATTCTTTAAGATAATCGGCATCTATAGCAACCCCCCATGTTATTTTCATGAATTCTGAACTCAGGGATCTGTTTTTCGTAGATTCAGTTTTTCAGAGGAAGAGAGGTATATGGGGAGAG